GTGGGGTTTTTGGATTAGTTTTTTGGGGGATTTTGTAGTAAAACACAAGAAAGAAATGACCCAGTCAGCACAGAAAAGGATGTCAGCTCTTACAGTAACAATTATTGGAGTCAGGAGGTTTTTGTGTGTGTGTGTGATAAACAAAGTAGCATCCCAGTTTCTCCTTAAATGTGACATGCATCAGCCTTATTTAAAGGGTCAGTTCACCTTAATACCAAGAATATTTTCTCATGCATAGGCCAACTCCTTATTAGAAGATCTGAGATAAAGTCAAGGCTCTTTTATCTCCAATACATTTTTGAGACATAATTTATCTTTTTAAACCTCTCCCCAGAACAGCGATTGCCCAATCATAGCTTAGCAATCATAACTATGTGCAGCAGGTCTGCCAAGCTTTGGATTTCTCCACATGGTGTGCATGGGGCAAGAGTTTTGTAGAGTTGCGTCTTTTTATTTTGTCTTTCCAAAACCAAAACCACATCTCAAGGAGAGGATTCAACATCTACAAACATTTCCGTGAACAGTTAACTAGCTTATGACCTTTAATAGAAGCCGAGCATTACTTCAAAGGCCCAGGAGCATTTCATTAGCTAACTATATTTGTTTTTGGGATTACAGGTTATGTTAACAGGCACTGTTCATGAGTTGCACATCCACTGTGTAGTATTTCCTTAGTGTGTGGAAGCTGTCCCAGGATGCTATCAGAGGCTGATGTTAGCTGCTCTTTCCTGGATTTTACCTGAGATAGTTTTACGTTTGTCAAACATTGGTTAGTGCAAAATTAAAAATATACTTTTTAATAATTTAAGAATGAAAAAACGGTCTGATCTTCCATTTTTCCTTATATCCTCCATATAGGACTAAGTAGGTCTACGCTAAAATACAAGAACAAAGCTGTTGGATCATCTGGTGAGGATGCTAACTTTTTGCCTGTGACACGTAGCTTCAGCCTCGGTCTTTTAGCACAATATTATGCATATCTCCATAAAATGTTATAAAAAAATATGAAATTGTCTTAACAGCGAACAGTATTTTCAACCAACTCATGCTGCCAACATTAGCTTTATTAGCTAGGTAACAACAGCTGTTAAAACCGGCTTATTATGTTACTTTTGTCATTCCAGCCGACAAAATCAACAGTCGCCGGCTGGTTAGTTATCTAAAAATTCCCTGTATAGTTGTCATAAACGGGCAATTTAGAATTTAGAGGGCATAACCGTTTTTTCCCCAAGCTGTAAACATGTTTATTTCTGCTGTAAAGTTTGGCATTTTAATATGGGGCCTTATAGAGATTGACTCACTTCTTCAGCCAGCCTCAAGTGGCCATTTGAAGGACTGCAGTTTTTGTTTAAAACCTTCAAAACTTAGCCGCTGTTATCTCTGAGCAGGGGTCCCGTCCTGCGTCTACGCATCCCTGCAGACCCTCGCAGGTTAATCACTGGCTCTCCAGGGTCCAGATGGCTGAGCTAGGGACAGATTTTTAATTACCACGCTCTGATTTCACACCCTGGGCATCACAGAGGACAGAACACTCCCTGCCTGGCCACCTTAATTTCTCTCTTTGGATGGTGTAAAGTATAAAAAAAGCAGGATGATAAGGTGTGCACTACAGTAAGAGAAAGGGGGAGAAAGGGGGAGGGAGGGCCGAGCTGAGAGTGAGCGTGTGTGGGAGTGCGCGAGAGATCATCACACTCGACAGGCCAGGAATTATATTTTCCTCACCAGGATGTTTCCTGTGGCGCTTAATCACCCTTTAAGTCAGCGACACCCAGAGTCGAGCAGCAGCTATAATCACATCTGTGGAGGGCCTCGTCACGAACACAGACCCCCCGAAAACCCGGAGGAAGGGGTTCAAAACAGCTCCAAATGGCAGGGGAAGGATGGCGGAGGGGGTCAGATTGATTCGGTGGTGTTAGCAGCAGGACGGAGCGTGCTGGGGGTGTTTCAGTCCCATCACTGAACACCTGTCCGCCACTGAGGGAGGGATGGGAAGCAGAAGGCTAGAACACAGGAGAGAAATGGATCACCAGTCACGTCCCATAATGCATCTCTCTGTTAGTTGTTTTTTTTTACTTCAGTATAGTTCAGTTCAAGATGCTTTACTAGCATAAAAGTAGAGAACAATATTGCTAAAGCATTAAGATAAAGAACAACTCTCATCCCCTGGTCTCGCTGCTGCTCTGCAACATAAATATGATGACACAAACGGTTCACAGGGAAATCAAATTCAGCTTTTTTCTTTTTTAAGAACAGTCGGCTTTCTTGCCTTTTTTGCAGAATACAGTAAACTGATCAAAGAGCAGAAAGTAGACAGTGAAAGATGTAAGAGTGCAGTCAGGACTGCAGCACTGACACTTTTTCAAATATCACAATGCTAATATTTAAAGCTTCATCTTCTTGGAACAACAAGAGGATGTGAAGACTGCAGTAATCAAAAGACAAGATGGATCATAATGGATTAACTACTCCATTGTTAGAAATCCTTAACATAAGAATAATGTTTCCTTATGTGCATGTACAGTATGACAATCAATGAAACTCTTGAGTTATATAATCCACCAAACACATTTCCACGTGCTTATGGGTAACTAACTGATAAATCAATCAATTCATTAACAGAAACTTCAGCACAAACACTCCAATATTATAAAACTTTTGCCTTTACTTATCTCACACTACAACTACTTCCAAACCAGCAGCTCACGTTTCCTGGAAACTCAGATGTTATTGTGAGCGTTGATGAGTGACGAGCCGGATGTGAGAGAAACACTTGCTCTGAGCAAATAAAACCTGACACCTGTCATGTGACACCAACTCTATTTGCCATCTTTCGGCAGGAAAGGTAACATCAATAAGAGTGATTAGTTGTAACTGGGTCTTACACATTCACTGCCTGTAAAAACTCCAGCAATGTCTTTAAAATATTCCAAGAAGTTTCCTACAAAATGTGGTTGATATAAGAAGAGTTTATTCTAAACTGTAAACTGTACCAAAGGCAGACTGGCCACCCCATTATCCTTCCCTCTTCCAGTCCGCACTGACTTTCAGAGGCTGTAAAGCTAGAGTGAATATTGCGCTAGCATGTTGGGAAGTGAGTTAAATAACGCTGTGGAACGGCCATTTTCAAAGGGGTCTCTTGACCTCTGACCTCAAAATATCTGAATGAAAATGTGTTCTATGGATACCCCATTGCAGACATAACTACTTTATGCTAATCCCATGCAGTTTTGCAGTTTTATAATCTTATTTACTTATTTATTGATCAGATAGTTCATGATTTAAATAAAAAATGTGCCACTTACAGACTATTTTATGCATGTTTTTAGACATTAAACATTTGAGAACTTTTGTAAAATGTTCAATAAATATAGAAAAGAAATGTTTCTCATAGTAATGGTACACAATCTGAATTTCATTTCAATTAAGAGTTTAAGAATAAGTGCACTGATAGAAATGATGATACAGTTTGCATAAAAGTTTAGATTAATGGCGTCAGTGAATCAGGAGAGTTGACAGCACAATACAGTAAGATCTCCTGCTCGTTCTTGTATCGTTTTTTTAAACTCTAAGCAGTTTCAATGTTGAATACTCTGGCTCAGTACTTCGGCCGCTGTTGGCGAGGTTTTGTTAATGGATGCCTTACTGTATCATTGCTTTAACGTTGCGCACTGCCATGATTTACGATGGGTGGAATTCCCTTCCTCTGCAGATCTGCTCATGCAGGGTAATTGGCCCATTTATCAGAAGCAGCAGAAAACTGAGCTGCAGAGTCACAGATGCATTAAGAATTATTCTCTTGGACCAGAGAAAGGAAGAGGAGGAGACGTGAATGGGTTCAAGCACCAACTGAACTTAAAGGAACCATTCGACGTAGTTGGGAAACATACTTAATTGCACTTTTTGCCCTGAAGTTAGAGGATTGACACCACTCTTATGTTTCTCAGTCCAAAATGAAGACGGAGCAAGTAGCCGGTTAACTTAGCTTAGCATAAAGACTGTCTAAAGATAATGTAATCGACGTAGCACCACCTTTAAAGCTCACCAGTTAACATGTTTATCTTGTTTGTTTAATCTGTACAATAACTAAAAGTGTACAAAGTGTAAAAATATGTCAGTTGGCTGTTATATTCTGGACTATTTCTTGGCCGAGAGCAATGACTTCCTAAAACATAAAGCCAGTTTTTAAGCTAAGCTAAGCTTACCTTCTCCTGGCTGTAGCATAATAGACAGATATGACAGTGATTTTCTGTATTATTCATTAAAAATCAAAGGCAACTTGTTCCAGTGAGAATAAAATGTGGGAAGAAATAGTAGTTTGGTGACGTATGGCTCAACATTTTGGAGAAGGAGCAGGAGACTGTTCCTGGATCGACCGTTAAGTTACTTCCTTTAAGAGCAGAACTGAGATTCTTAATGTTAAGTGTTTTTTTTTGTTCTTACTATTGCCAACAACTGATTTCAAAGTCACTATTAAGGGCCAGGAAACAGTCCCACAGATAACCTCCCTATGACTCCACAACTTGACCTTTTCACACATTGGTTTCTGTGGGAAAAACAAGATATAACATGTTCATTTGTGAGCTTTAGATGTGCTTGTAGGTGGATTTTAGTACCTTCAGACAGAGCCTGGCTAGCTGTTTCCCTCTGTTTCCAGTCTTTATGCTAAGCTAAGCTAACCATCTGCTGTTTGTACCTTCATATTAAGCGGACAGATATGAGAGTGGCATCAGTCTTCTCATCTCACTCTGAGCACAAAAGCAAATAAGCATATTTTGAGCTCTTATGTTTCACTTGCACCTCCCTCTGTAGTTTGTTGTGTTGTTTCTCCCCCTCAGTGGAGTTTGTAAGAGCGAGCTGTGACATTCTGACACACAGTGACCAGAGGACAGCAGCTACACACACACACAACCCTAGCCGTAATTTATCTGGAATGTGCAGAGCTTCTGCCTCTGATCGGCCTCTGATTCTCACTCCCTGTATCTCTTTTTCTCTGTTTGCAGAGATCGGGGCAGACGCAAACTGCTGACTGAACTGCAGGCAGACACCGGGACAGAGTGCGGAGGAGTAAGCAGACAAGGTAAGTCAAGACAAGAGGAGGAGGCACTGTAGCATGTTAACATCAGCCAGTTTCATAACATTACAGCATGAGTTGGTCAGGGATGTCACAGCCCTCAGTCTGCTCGGGGGAAACTGAGCAGTGGCGGAGAGTTTTTGTACTACAGCTTCCACACAAAGTTGTCGACAGCTGACACAGTTAAGTCCTGCGTCCATCTGAGAGCATTATTTATCAGAGCCTGTTGCGATGTCACAGTTATCAGCATGTTCACACCGTGTGCAACATCTCAGGATGGTATTTTGGGCAGCTGACAGATAGGAAGGAAGGCAGCACAAGAGGTTTCATGATATACAGATGAGTTCAAATTATGTCCTGAAACAGAACATACAACAGACGGAAAATCTCCAAAAGCCAAAAAATATCTAGACAGGAAACAGCTTTGTTCAGTTAATCTTTGTTGCCTTCAAGATACGATCTATTGCTCCTTGAGTCGACGCATGCTTTGGCATCCCCTACGCGTCACCCCTCCCTCCCCACATATGAAAATGTCAGGGTGGCATTTTCACGCGCTCCACCAACAATAAGCAGGACAATGACTTTGTAGACACAGTGACTCTGCTTTTATCAACTGCTTTTTTAGTATATTTTGCAGCTAGTTTTGAAATTATAAGTGAATCCAAACACAAAATGATTAAAGGTAACATTTAGACCCAGGTTTAGGTTAATCTTTTGGGCATTTTGTAGGCATGCTAGCAGCTCTGGGTATCACGATGTCAGTCAGTTATCTTGAAATAAGACGGTAACCATTATATCTGCTGAACATCTGCACATCGGCATTGTGAGGATGTTGGGCAAGTTCAAAGCAACGCCAAAGTACCAAAGTATAGCCACCCACAGCTGCTGGTAGCTCTCGACGTTTCTCCTTAACTTCCATGGACTTTAGTTGGTACGGCAAATTGTTGTTGTTGTTCCCAAGTACTGGGCAAACTCTCCAAAGGCAAGAGAGGTAACCCAATTAAAACTTGGTGTATCTTTCCTTCCATTTGTAGCCCATTAAGATTGATTGATTGATTTAAACATACAAAATGTAATTTCTGCCTCTACTGGGTATAACAATAACAAATCATGAAGTCAAATGATGTTGTGAAGTAGCGTGGGATCATGGGAGTTACTACCATTGCCAAATGGTAAAAACACACACCTCAACAACATATAGAACATAGATCTAGTGTTTTGAGACATTTTAATGCAGAAATGTTACATATTATATCTTTAAAACATCATCTCTCCCTGTCAATTCCACTCAAACCAGGCTATTGTGTCAGAGTGTCTGATTATTTTCTGTACTGAACGGAGCTCCACTTTTCTGTAGACATCCCAGAAACCTTAAACAGTGACATGTCACCCTATCAATAGTCTGCTGATACGCTGGCCCGCTTTGACGTCTCCCCTGAGTGTTAAAACAATATTATGGCCTCGATACGAAAGACACCTAATTTCTACTTGTCAATCACACCTTTGTAGTAACTCTCTGGCCTATTTTTATTTTGGTGAGAGACAGAGTCCCAAGATATTTGTACATTACATCAGTCATTATAAACCTGACATACAAAACAAAATACACTCTGCAACTCGCAGGATATTGCAGGAAAAGTTGACACAGAGGGACACCAGATGCTAGGATTTGAATCCCACAAAAATACCAATACGATGAACCCAGGAGTCGATTAAGGTAAAGAAAGTCTGGATTTACACACAGATATTACATCTTTTTCTTATGTATTTCTTCAAAATACATTTCTTTTTATATAATAATTATTGTCTATTTAACCCTAATTTCACTTCAAACACTCTCATTAAAAAGAGTCCCACATTTTGATTCCTTTTATTACTGACAGCAATAACAGCACGATAGATTTAGTTTTTAGACAGTTTGTGACCCTAAAAGGTGACGCACTTGTCAGAGCAAGAACATCCAGGATCCCTCAGCTGCAGTGACTATAAAACACAATGTTTATGTTACACTGTTAATACTCTGCAGTCCACTGCAGGTTGTGCTCATGAATCTTCTTCAGATTGTCATTTGGTTTGAGATTTACCAGCCTGGTTCGGAGGAAGCCTTGAGTCTGTTTGTGTGTCACTTAAACTTGTATTTTAAAACGATTTGAACGCTTCATCAAGTGCAACTGTTCATCTTTAAGATAAGATTCAACATAGTCATTGCACACAGTAACTATACAAAATACACTTACAGAGATTAGATTTGTTTTCTTCTTCCTACCGTCATCGAATCCAATCCTTGAATCCAAAGTTTATTATTTTTTTACTAGCGCACTCCATGTTACCCTCTGCTGGTCTACTGCATTTAGTAGGTTGCCAGGTTTGTGTTAATTCCTCTAGAAATCACTCGATCATGTTTAAAAATGAAAAATGCAAGTAGTAATCTAATAAAGAAAGTGAAGTGAAAATGCCCAAAATGATCTGGTTCTAAAATGTTTTGCTCCCTTAAATTAAACATTTAGTTGGTTTGAAGACCCTGTGCACTGAGGACGTGTGATTGCCACTTTCTGACACGTCAGATTAAACAATTAATTAATTAATCCTCAAATGACTAGCTTGTAGTGAAATAATCATTAACTGCACTGGACTCACTTTCTGAATATCAATCACATTTAATCATCTGTAGGAGTCAGTGACCCCAACAGAAATCCAAAGATTAAAAAACCAGGTATCCATCACATTTCTTATTTGTTCCCTCTGGCAGGCAGTCAAACAGTAATAGATCTCAGGTGAAGCAGACAAACTGTAACCGGTAACCCTGTGCAGGTTTTAATTGATGATCAGGTCATCGGGGGTTCGGGTCGGTGTGACAGCAGAGATTCCTACAGCAGTTTCGGCGGCCTGATGAGCAGGTGTGCCGCCGTGGGCCATCGATATTCACGCTCAGCTCCAGCACCTCGCTGAGATCAGTCTTAACCCCACACTGAGTCATACCACAGCGCATACAGAGGGATGATGGGGGGGTGGGGGATTGATCACACACTAACGATGGCGCTGTTTTAGAGTGCTCACAGCTTGATCCATTTAATCAAAGAGGTTATAAAAGCCAGGGGAGCATCTGAGGACAAGGAAGAGAATGAAAGTGTGCACCAATAGAGATAAATTAAAGGAAAAACCTGAATAAACTGGTGGAGAAATATTAAATACAGGCCTCACTGAATGGTTGGATGAAAACAACATGAATTATAAGCATTTACTAGATCTCGACCCCAATTGAAGCCATTATCTAAACACGAAGCTGTTCCTAAGACTTCTGTGTTGTAGTTTCCATTAATTATTCATCCATCTGCATCACATATACACTCTCAGGGTTGGGATTGTTACTTTAAAAATGTCATCCGATACAATTAATAATTACTTGTTAAAGAATGTAGTCAGTGAACTAATCCAAGCATCGTGATGTAAAAGTAACTTGATTACTTCCTGTTACTTTTAAACACCAAATATGCAAACAAACACAAATTTAGATGATTTTTATATATTCTATAAGACAACACAACAATGTAACTGTAGAAAAGTACATTTTTTAATGAAAATTTGTCCTCTGTGCAGAAAACCTTTTAATTAAGCAAATTCAGGAAGGCAGAACTTGATGTTCTTTTCTGCTTTAAAGACAAAATAATGGTGAATTTTTTACCCAGTGAAAGCATTTTCTTACGAGGCTGTGATAACGAAGATCAGCTGTGGTTTGATTCGAGACCAGAGTGCTGTCTCGTTAAAAACACATATCATTCTTTATTTTAAAATCTGGCTAATAATCCCCATTTTTACTAAATGTAACTGTAATCTGATTACTCCTCTTTTTTTCTCTAAATGTAATGGATTACCTATTTCACAAGCCTGTACACTGTGCACTAATCTGCATAAGTAAACTATTTGGGCTGGTGAGTATCCAGTAAATGAATGTACATGCTGTAAACATGTCGACCTTTAAAAGCTTCTGTCAGTTTTGAATTTGGAAGCTTAAAGAGAAATGTTTCTCCAGAGATTCAGCATTGTATTTGTTCCACAAACATGTAAATCATGTTACTACAGTACACGATCCAGTACTCATTCACTACCAGTGGCCATTTTAAATCTCTATTATGTGACGTTTTTTAAGAATCTTTTTTTTTACTACTTCTTTGAAGACTATGGATGTGACTGCAGGAACGATTCTGGTTCTTCCATTTCCATCAGGCATTGTGTTGTATGACAGGAGGCTCACCTCCTACCGCCTTTTACAGGCAAGGCGCGGTTCATCACGAACGAGCCCTTGTCCATCAGCATCACACTTAAGCATCAAGCCAGCTGAGTGCACATATTTACTTTGAGTATTTAATTGTGTCACTTTTTCAGTGTGAACACACGACTCAAAGCCTGGTTAGTATCACTATGTTGTACTGAAAGAGGAAACAGTTAAATGTTTTTGACCATAATGATAAATAAGCTTTGTTTCAGAAATATTGGTCAGTTAGAACAGAGGTTTCCAACCTGTGGGGGGGTCACCAAAGTCTTTATTTTAAGGGAAAAACATAGACAGTAGGCCTATATTTCTAATAGCACCAAGGACAAGAAAACACTGAATTTGTCAAAAAATGACCCTATTAAGTCTATATTATTGTTAATAATAATAAAAAGACAAAACAAGACGGACAAAGAATTTCATAAAAGTCCTTTAAACAAGAAAAAATCTTCTCAAAATTCACCCAAATCACACATTTTACACAAACTCCTTGCAGTTAGAGTTCACTATTTGGGTTAATTGTAAATAATTGAATATAATCAGTTTACTAAATTACAGTAAAGGCATAAATGCGTCTTTTTAATGGACTGTGTTAACACCAGCGATAAAAGAGAGTGTTACAGTAACAGAAATGCAAATAAAGCGTTACTGAAGCTGTGTAACATCTGCTGCCTGCGAGGTGACCTGTCTTACCTCGGATCAAAGACAAACCACATCATTATTTCGATTTATCGTCGTTCACATGAC